GATATATATCCCGATTGGGAGTACATCCCGATTGGGAGTACATCCCGATCGGGATATGTCTCCACACTGACAGTGATCGAAATACAATATTGTTCAATTTTTTTGTATTTCTTTAGTTTTTTCACAACTTCATCTTGAGCTTCTTCCTCTTTCGTGTCGTGGGTCAACACACACAATGGAATTGCGGGCTCTTCAATAAACAGAACGTTTGAATAAGTTAAAATCTAAAAACAAAATTAGCAAAATAACATCACGGTGCAATTTAAACAAACTGACAGACACGTAGTAGTCGCCGATATTAAAAGTTGTGTCGTAGTACAGTGGCATCGGTTTTGTGGTTAATTCCAGTAACTGGCCAAATAAATTTTCACCGACGGTGTGTATTAACACTACACTTAATTGTGGTTGAATCTGATATGTTCGGATGTAATCTTTCAATTCATTTGATAATATGAGATGTAATAATTCATCGTTTGTGCTATGTTTTTGTTGCAAAAACTTTTGATGATAATGTTTAACTTGTGTGAGATCACGTGGCGAATCAATGCTTGCTTCTCCAGCAAACGTTTTATGTGTCACAGACGCCTAGGAAATACGAAAAATTATACATTATAGCGGCTGCTACAAAAAAACAAATGATTCTCGCCGCATTTTTGTTACTGCACAATCGGAGCGCACCTGGAAACGGTGAACATTTTACTATAATGTGCTTCTACAAATTCTGAACACCTAGACTACGCCGCTTTTTAATTTTACAACTGCACAATTATACACCTTTACAATTTTATAACCTAAGAATTGCAGAATTTACAATTTTACAGTTGTACAATTTTCAGAATTTTACAATTTTACGCTTTACAATTTTAAAATTTAAGAATTCCGGAAATGCTCAAAACTTACAGTCGATGTTTTAACGGATTTTTCAATTTGCTTAATGGTTGATAGTTTGGTTCGTTTATAAATGTGTGATGTCGATTATTAGGGGATAGTGTGAAGTTCAACTAGAATCATCTGAAGTTTGTTTTAAAACAGAGATAAAAACAAAAAAAGGAAAAAAGAACTCTTCGAAGAATGACAATGTTCGTCTATATCTTTATCTGTATCAACGAAATAAAAAGGTGAAGGATGACAATGACCAAAAAGGAAAAGAAAAGTCATATATGTATAGTCATACATGTGTATAGTAAAATGGACGAACGAAAAAGAAATATCACTTGAAAGAGGAAAACGAAAGCAAAATATATATCTTTATGTAACTGTGAAGGTTAAAAGCCTGTAACATCGATAATCGCGCATTTCCATGTGGATCAAGTTTGGCAACGGATTTGTTTCCTGAAATTGAGTGTGAAGTTGAGTATCTGGTTAAATCTTAATAGTTGCCACTTACCGATATATACGATTATAACATCGAAATGAATCTGGTTTGACACGTAGACATGCTTAATAAATCGTTTGTCTACCTCTCCATCAGTATTAATACACGAGAAGTATTTCTTTTTGAATAAATCGTTATTTTTTGGCCATTCACGCCATGATCCACTTTTCCAGCGGCACCCATCTGCTTTCCAGTCGCCTATGAAATAAAAAGAATAAAATACAATTGAACTTGGGCAAGAGAGACAAACAGGTAACAAGCAGAGGCCTTTTTCAAAAGAAGAAATATATGAGCACAACTCAACACTTTGTGTATCTTGATTTAAGTATAAACGATATATTTCATTTGACTGAATTTCTTCGGGTAGCTCATCTACTTTGGGTGAATGTTCAAGTATTTCACTGAGCTCTTTAATCAATAAGTTAATATCTTGTATACTGATATCTAAAGTATAAAACCATAATACAAATCAATTTCTGAAGAAAGTTTGTTCATATACAGGAAGTAAATGTATACCAGTGTAGGGGTGGCGCTTTACCGTTTCTTTACAGGTAACGCAGTAACGCATGCGTTACTCGTTACCAGTAACTACTAACGAGATGCGTTTATTTTTCATAGCTTTTGTAACGAGTAACGCAGCGTTATTTG